GTGGGTGAGGTATGGTGGTGGGTTTGGTGGGTGAGGTATGGTGGTGGGTGAGGTATGGTGGTGGGTGAGGTATGGTGGTGGGTGTGGTGGGTGAGGTATGGTGGTGGGTGAGGTATGGTGGTGGGTGTGGTAGGTGAGGTATTGTGGTGGGTGTGGTGGGTGAGGTATGGTGGTGGGTGTGGTGGGTGAGGTATGGTGGTGGGTGAGGTATAGTGGTGGGTGCAGCCACACACCCAGCCATCCACACCACCATGGCGCCCCCTCCTCCCCCCCCCCCCAATACTGCGGCTCCACCCTACTGGATCAGGTTTTCTGTCTTAATCCGACCTGGTTAAATGTTCCTGGCTTAATATAGACATACTCGATTATGGCTTCTCCTGTGTGATATTAAATTCCTTGTGTGCGTGCGTGTGCGTGCGTGTGTGTGTGTGTGTGTGTGTGTGTGTGTGTGTGTGTGTGTGTGTGTGTGTGTGTGTGTGTGTGTGTGTGTGTGTGTGTGTGTGTGTGTGTGTACTCACCTAGTTGTACTCACCTAGTTGTGTTTGCGGGGGTTGAGCTCTGGCTCTTTGGTCCCGCCTCTCAACCGTCAATCAACAGGTGTACAGATTCCTGAGCCTATCGGGCTCTGTCATATCTACACTTGAAACTGTGTATGGAGTGAGCCTCCACCACATCACCCCCTAATGCATTCCATTTGTCAACCACTCTGACACTAAAAAAGTTCTTTCTAATATCTCTGTGGCTCATTTGGGCACTCAGTTTCCACCTGTGTCCCCTTGTGCGTGTTCCCCTTGTGTTAAATAGACTGTCTTTATCTACCCTATCAATCCCCTTCAGAATCTTGAATGTGGTGATCATGTCCCCCCTAACTCTTCTGTCTTCCAGCGAAGTGAGGTTTAATTCCCGTAGTCTCTCCTCGTAGCTCATACCTCTCAGCTCGGGTACTAGTCTGGTGGCAAACCTTTGAACCTTTTCCAGTTTAGTCTTATCCTTGACTAGATATGGACTCCATGCTGGGGCTGCATACTCCAGGATTGGCCTGACATATGTGGTATACAAAGTTCTGAATGATTCTTTACACAAGTTTCTGAATGCCGTTCGTATGTTGGCCAGCCTGGCATATGCCGCTGATGTTATCCGCTTGATATGTGCTGCAGGAGACAGGTCTGGCGTGATATCAACCCCCAAGTCTTTTTCCTTCTCTGACTCCTGAAGAATTTCCTCTCCCAGATGATACCTTGTATCTGGCCTCCTGCTCCCTACACCTATCTTCATTACATTACATTTGGTTGGGTTAAACTCTAACAACCATTTGTTCGACCATTCCTTCAGCTTGTCTAGGTCTTCTTGAAGCCTCCAAGTCCTCTTTGTCCACCCTGTCAATTCCCCTGAGAATTTTGTAGGTGGTTATCATGTCTCCCCTTACTCTTCTGTTTTCCAGGGATGTGAGGTTCAGCTCCTTTAGCCTTTCCTCGTAGCTCAATCCTCTCAGTTCCGGGACGAGCCTGGTGGCATACCGCTGAATCTTCTCTAACTTTGTCTTGTGTTTAACTAGGTATGGACTCCAGGCTGGAGCTGCATACCCCTGTGTGTGTGTGTGTGTGTGTGTGTGTGTGCGTGTGTGTGTGTGTGTGTGTGTATGTGTGTGTATGTGTGTGTGTGCGTTTGTGTGTGGCGCGTGCGTATTTACTATTTGTGTCTGCAGGATCGAGCTATTAGCTCTTGGACCCCGCCTTTCCAACCAATCTATTTTTCACATATATTTTCTCTAATACACACACACACACACACACACACACACACACACACACACACACACACACACACGCACACACACAGGGGTATGCAGCTCCAGCCTGGAGTCCATACCTAGTTAAACACAAGACAAAGTTAGAGAAGATTCAGCGGTATGCCACCAGGCTCGTCCCGGAACTGAGAGGATTGAGCTACGAGGAAAGGCTAAAGGAGCTGAACCTCACATCCCTGGAAAACAGAAGAGTAAGGGGAGACATGATAACCACCTACAAAATTCTCAGGGGAATTGACAGGGTGGACAAAGACAAACTCTTCAGCACGGGTGGGACACGAACAAGGGGACACAGGTGGAAACTTAGTACCCAGATGAGCCACAGAGACGTTAGAAAGAATTTTTTCAGTGTCAGAGTAGTTAATAAATGGAATGCACTAGGAAGTGATGTGGTGGAGGCTGACTCCATACACAGTTTCAAGTGTAGATATGATAGAGCCCAGTAGGCTCAGGAATCTGTACACCAGTTGATTGACAGTTGAGAGGCGGGACCAAAGAGCCAAAGCTCAACCCCCGCAAGCACAATTAGGTGAGTACAATTAGGTGAGTACACATATAGGAAGCAGCCCGTAACAGCTGTCTAATTCCCATTTACCTGTTTACTGCTAGGTGAACAGGACCATCAAAGTGAAAGAAACTTTGCCCATTTACACACAGAAACCACAATAGCGTGATGCATCAAATGCACAAATCTACAAGGGCCGTGACGAGGCCCTGTGATTTCACAAGTGTAAATGACATTACACTTCTGATTTCTGTGTGTAATGAAGTAAGGGCGAAGAGGAAGAACAGCCAGTTGACATAGCTCGGGTGCATGGGGGGAGTTGGGTAAAACCCTGGTTTGTGTCTCGGAGAGGCTGCAGGAACCGTTGGTAAATCAGGATGATTTCCCGGTTGCAATTCTTTTACCATGTCGTAGCTCATTCGATTAAGGCAGCGTCTGGGATCCTCTCGGACGTAGGTTCAAACCCTCGTCACGGCCCTTGTGGATTTGTTCATTTGCCCATTTGTTTCCGCCGTCGGCTGGCGATCGATACCCGGACCCTAGGATTTCGAATCCCGAGCGCTGTCCACTCAGCTACCAGACCCCCTTGTGCAAGGGTTGAGGTTCAGCTCATGTCCCGGCCCTCAACCCTCAATACACTGCAGTACATGCAGAAGATACAACAGATACAGTATATGTAGAAAGTATACATATGCGCCGTGGAGAGGGGGGGACCTGGTGCTTGGGTAACAGCTTCTCCCCCGAATCAACCTATCCTGGCTTTGCGCCCTGGTGAGGCCACTCCAGACCAGGCCGACATCAGAGCCCAACTCCATAGTCTCCTGAGACTGATGGATGCCTACTAGAAAGTATAAAAATATACGAGTGTTTAGTGTATATTTATGATATACAGAAATATACACTATTAAGACTGATGGCTGCCTACTATTAATGTTGAATTTTGAGGTTGCAATGTTTGACAAGGACGGTTGTAGGGGTTGAGCAGGTACCTGTATGGCGCCAGGATCCGGTCCCTGTGCTTCCCGCGCTCCAGCCACTCTATATAAGGTAACCTTTTAAAGCTAATGTCCGCTCCGGTGAGAGCGCTTCCTGCTGCGTCACATCTCATTACGTCTCCTGCCTCCACCATGCCCTCGCTTGACGGTGGGGCCCTCAGTGGCACCCCTCGCCTGACGGTGGGGCCCTCAGTGGCACCCCTCGCCTGATGGTGGGGCCCTCAATGGCACCCCTCGCCTGATGGTGGGGCCCTCAGTGGCACCCTCGCCTGACGATGGGGCCCTCAGTGGCACCCCGCGCCTGACGGGGGCTTCCTGGCTACAGTCCACAGTGGGAGCCACGCCTGACAGTGAGTGAGAGAGAGGGAGAGGAAGGGACAGGAGAGAGGGAGGAACAGGAGAGAGGGCAAGACATGGTCATGACTGGGCAGTTATAGGCAGGTGCCAGGAGGCTCTGTATGGCTGGTGTGAAGCACAATAATGTATTGCTGTCTTAGGGAACAGCGTCGCTATAACTGAACACTGTTGATGCCCCCAGACACCGGAGCACATCCCTCCTGCAGCTCCTGCCACTCCCTAGTCTGCTCTGATGTGGGCCGGGGGGAGTGACCAGGGAGTGACCCATCACACAACACTACAGCGTACTCTTTAAAGTAAAACTTTAAGCAGCGGAGATCGTATTGTTCGTGAGGCAGAGCGTGGCAGCCGTCCGCCAGGAGCTGCTCGCCCAGTTATGACCTTATATGATAACATTGTGGAGAGGAGTGACGCGGCGCCATCCCTGGTGGCCTCGACGGGGGCAGGTATCCCTGAGGGGTGGACATCCCTAGTGGCTTCGACGGGGGCAGGAATCCCTGAGGGTGGACATCCCTAGTGGCTTCGACGGGAACTATCTATGTCCCCGTCGTCCCCCATATTTCTATGACCCACGGCGAAATGCGCGCCAGGCGTCGTAACCAGCCGGACCGATCAATATGAAAAGCAGACCGTAGTATTACAGTCGTATGGGTAAAATCACGTAACGGAATGTAATCAGGTGGAGTCAGACGTCCGCTCGTCGTCAAGGTTGAGCCGGGATCCGAGTGCTTGATGTCGTCACGCATGTTGTTCACAGGTCAGCATGTGTCAGATCTAAACATGTAAGTTATATATTATGAAACACTTTTGAGATTACAGTGCCCGCAAAAACTGGTAAGAGATATCGTGCTTGTGGTGGAGTTATTTCCCCGGGAAAAAGTGTGGTCGTTGTTGCAATGGTCGATATAACACACCCTCAAAATAAACTTTCAGCTCCCATCAACTCAAAATATTTCTTGGAATTCAAACTCGGTGACACGATTTGTACTCTTACGTAAAGTTGTGAATCAGCGTGAAGGAGTGTTCGGCGGGTCCCTAAGATGACCCTCAACAAGTTATTTATTGTGCGCATACATTTTCTCACAGTATAATTTTGCATGTTTTTGTCTCGTTAAATGTCTTAGATTCAGTTACAGCACCGCTCCTGTGCCAGGTAAGTCCACTACGGGCTCACCATAGCCCGTGCTAATTGCAACTTTTTGTTCCCAGTAGCCGAATCTAAAACAGCAACGACAACTACGTCTCAGATTTTACAGGACCAGTTTCTAGCATAATTTTGACGTACTTTACTGCACGTGTTTGTGTTTGTTTACGTTTGTTCCTCATTATCTTGTAGACGGTGAACGAGTCGACGCCGAAGTGGAGAAGCTGCGTCGCTTGAGTCAAGAGCTCGCCAGGAAGGAAGGTAAGCCTTTGCATTCTCCTAACTATCTCTTAATGTCTATATGACATGTTTATCATTTTTTGTAGCTACGTAAACAAAAATATTATTGCCATGACATAATGTTGAGCAACTTTGATCTAATTTATTTCTTGTGTGATCCTCATAATAGAGTTCTACCTACTCAACCGTACCACCAGCCCCAAAAGTTGGTGGCCGTCACCCAGACACCTCTCGTTCAGTAAGGACAACACGTACATTTATAATAACAACAACGACGTCCTCCCCAGCAACAACAACCTCCTCAACCACTTCAACGCATTAAAGAGTGTCGACCATCCCGTCAGTCTGCACTACAAGCGGGCCAAGTCCCCTCTGAGAGACAACGGAACCTTCCCTTGTGAGGTCCACGGCAGGAAGGCGGCACCAGAACAGACGTTCCTGGCCAACACCCTCCCTGATCTTCCTTCTTACAAGATGCCGTCTCAGAGACGCTTCAGCGACGAGGTCAACTTCCGTCGACCACTGGGTACGTTATTTAGTTAATCTTATTTCAAAGGAATTTACAAAATTCCTTGTAAAACAATATTTTTTGTTTATCCTGCTCAGGTTCTAATATACATCAGAGGTCTACTGTAAAAAAATCTATAACAAATATATTTTCGTTATACATCATAGGGTGTTTGGCCGAATAACCCGTCCTCTTACTAATTACGTCGCTTTTCGCTCGTATGTACACTAAGGCTAAAAATCGCCGTATTAAGAAATTAAATCGGTTCACGAAAGTGACGTACTTTCACGTTTTCTGTTTTGGGTCCTCTGGCTTAGTCTGTTAGGTTAGGAGAGGAAACTTTCAATTAACGGTTTTCGTGTATTTTCTCCCCTGATTCCATGTATGACTAACCATCCTGTGAGATGGGAATATTAGATAAACCTATAGCTAGTTTTTTATCTACATTGTGTAGTCTTTCATATAGAATAGCGTAGCAGCATATTGTTGTGTATACCTAAGCTTGTCAATAACAAAAAATTACGTTTTGAAACTCTAGGAGAACTTCTTACCCTCTTAACCAACCTATGGAGCCAAAACTTGCTGCTTTTGATGCATTTCATTTGGATAATTAATTTCCATTTTTTAAATTGCAATACGGCGATTTTTGCCCGTAATGCATATGAGCGAAAAGCGACGTAATTTGTAAGAGGACGGGCTGTACTGTCGCCAATAATAAATTTTCTGTTATAATGAAATGATGCATTACCACATTACATGAGTCAGTCTCTTCTTACAAGAAGAAAACGACAAAACAAGACTAACATAGAAAATGAATATTAACTGCGCAGGAGACCGTAAACTATTAAAAACATACTAACCTAAGCTTATGCAATGGCACTATATCCTTCCACTATGCCCCACCACTATGTCCCACTACTACGTCCCATCACTATGCCCCACCACTATGCCCCACCACTATGTCCCACCACTATGCCCCAACACTATGCCCCACCACTATGTCATTCCACTGTACCCCACCACTATGTCATTCCACTATACCCCACCACTACGTCCATCCATTATGTCCCTCCACTATGTCCCACCACTATATCCCACCACTATGTCCCTCCACTATGTCATACACCATCCACATAGTAGGTGGACAAAGATAAACTATTTAACACTGATGGCACGCGAACAAGGGGACACAGGTGGAAACTGAGTACCCACATGAGCCACAGGGACGTTATAAAGAACTTTTTCAGTGTCAGAGTAGTTAACAGATGGAATGCATTAGGCAGTGATGTGGTGGAGGCTGACTCCATACACAGTTTCAAATGTAGATATGATAGAGCCCAGTAGGCTCAGGAATCTGTACACCAGTTGATTGACGGTTGAGAGGCGGGACCAAAGAGCCAGAGCTCAACCCCCCGCAAGCACAACTAGGTGAGTACTAGGAGAGTACTATGCCACACCACTGTGTCACACTCAACAATATTCCCCGCTGGTAGCTGTAAGTCTCTGTGTTACTTATAATGTCACTGCCAGTGTTATCATGATGAAAAGTTAAGTGTTAAGTGTTGAGGCTTTAAGTGTTAAGTGCTGAGGTTTAAGTGTTAAGTGTTAAGGTAGATACTAACGCTTGAGTGTTGTTCCCACAGCCACACTCCACGAGGACCAGGTGGTGGCCAGACGTCGCTTCAGCGAGGATGTCCGCAAGAAGTCTCTTGGTGAGTTGTCTCGCTTTCCCTTGTGTCTCCTGGGACACTCTGGCTTCCCCTTGTGTCTCCTGGGACACTCTGGCTTCCGCTTGTGTCTCCTGGGACACTCTGGCTTCCGCTTGTATCTCCTGGGACACTCTGGCTTCCGCTTGTGTCTCCTGGGACACTCTGGCTTCCGCTTGTGTCTCCTGGGACACTCTGGCTTCCGCTTGTGTCTCCTGGGACACTCTGGCTTCCGCTTGTGTCTCCTGGGACACTCTGGCTTCCGCTTGTGTCTCCTGGGACACTCTGGCTTCCGCTTGTGTCTCCTGGGACACTCTGGCTTCCTCTTGTGTCTCCTGGGACACTCTGGCTTCCTCTTTTGTCTCCTGGGACACTCTGGCTTCCTCTTTTGTCTCCTGGGACACTCTGGCTTCCTCTTGTGTCTCCTGGGACACTCTGGCTTCCTCTTTTGTCTCCTGGGACACTCTGGCTTCCTCTTGTGTCTCCTGAGACACTCTGGCTTTCTCTTGTGTCTCCTGAGACACTCTGGCTTCCTCTTGTGTCTCCTGAGACACTCTGACTACCTCTTGTGTCTCCTGGGACACTCTGGCTTCCTCTTGTGTCTCCTGAGACACTCTCTTGTGTCTCCTGGGACACTCTGGCTTCCTCTTGTGTCTCCTGGAGCACTCTGGCTTCCTCTTGTGTCTCCTGGGACACTCTGGCTTCCTCTTGTGTCTCCTGGGACACTCTGGCTTCCTCTTGTGTCTCCTGGGACACTCTGGCTTCCTCTTGTGTCTCCTGAGACACTCTGGCTTCCTCTTGTGTCTTCTGGGACACTCTGGCTTCCTCTTGTGTCTCCTGGGACACTCTGGCTTCCTCTTGTGTCTCCTGGGACACTCTGGCTTCCTCTTGTGACTCCTGGAGCACTCTGGCTTCCTCTTGTGTCTTCTGGGACACTCTGCTTCCTCTTTTGTCTCCTGAGACACTCTGGCTTTCTCTTGTGTCTCCTGAGACACTCTGGCTTCCTCTTGTGTCTCCTGAGACACTCTGACTACCTCTTGTGTCTCCTGGGACACTCTGGCTTCCTCTTGTGTCTCCTGAGACACTCTCTTGTGTCTCCTGGGACACTCTGGCTTCCTCTTGTGTCTCCTGGAGCACTCTGGCTTCCTCTTGTGTCTCCTGGGACACTCTGGCTTCCTCTTGTGTCTCCTGGGACACTCTGGCTTCCTCTTGTGTCTCCTGGGACACTCTGGCTTCCTCTTGTGTCTCCTGGGACACTCTGGCTTCCTCTTGTGTCTCCTGGAGCACTCTGGCTTCCTCTTGTGTCTCCTGGGACACTCTGGCTTCCTCTTGTGTCTCCTGGAGCACTCTGGCTTCCTCTTGTGTCTCCTGGGACACTCTGGCTTCCTCTTGTGTCTCCTGGGACACTCTGGCTTCCTCTTTTGTCTCCTGAGACACTCTGGCTTTCTCTTTTGTCTCCTGGGACACTCTGGCTTCTTTTTAAGTCATCTTGGCCATTGCCCTTACTATTGTTTGTATACTTTTGTGTAAATTATATTATATGTATATATAATTTTTGAAGCAATGGAGTGACTTGAACTCGCAACCCTGTGATCCCCAGACGCCCGCCTTAACCGCTGGGCCACGGTGGTACGAGGCTGGGAGTCACCAGGTCGCCAGTTCAAGCCACTCCATTGCCTCAAAAATGATTTTTCGTTGATATATCACACCATTGTGATTTCATTGCGATTGTATGTATAGTCTTGCACGTTGTCTTACAACCTGACGCTTGCAGTATTTCTTAGTTTCAAGTTTCTATGTTGTATATATGATTCAAAGGTTATCGTAATGCACAAGTATTGTAGATTTATAGATGTTTCCTAAGAGTAAAGTGTGATGTGTTGAGGCCTTTGAAGGTGCTGTATAAACCTGATGTTGTAGATCTCATAGAACAGAAGCCATTGATGTAGTAGAAGCATTATAGTGCATGACGTTGCTGACTGTTGCATGTGTGGCTCTGCCCATAGATACCAGCGGCGTCCTCGACGATCTCCACAAACAGCATCGTCGACTCTCCGAGGCTGGAGTTCGGCGCCTCTCTGGTAAGTGTCCACGACCATTGTTGCTGCTGTTGCTGGGCTCATGGGCTCATGATAACTCATGGCCGGTTACAGTTACAGCCCTTGTGCCTGTACCAGGTAAGTCCACTACGGGCTCACCATAGCCCGTGCTACTAGCAAATTTTTGTTCACAGCAGCTGGATCTAAATAAACATAAAACAACATTGTTGCTGCTGCTGGCCTCATGGCCGCTGGTAGGTGTCCATGACCACTGTTCTCCACCTGCAATCAAGATGACCCCGTGTAGAGGAATGAGTCAAGATGACCCCGTGTGGAGGAATGAGTCAGGATGACCCCGTGTGGAGGAATGAGTCAGGATGACCCCGTGTGGAGGAATGAGTCAGGATGACCCCGTGTGGAGGAATGAGCCAAGACGACAAGGCCGCCTCCACCAAATAAACACTTGACGTGTTGGGTTGGAAATTATTTGTGTTAGAGAGTGTATATTGAGTCAAGATATTCAGGGATGACATCAGCGACGCTACGGTCATGTGCTCTCTCTGCTCCTCCACCAGCTGCACGACCCCCCTCCCACACCACCAGCTGCACGACCCCCCTCCCACACCACCAGCTGCACGACCCCGCTCCCACACCACCAGCTGCACGACCCCCTCCCACACCACCAGCTGCACGACCCCCTCCCACACCACCAGCTGCACGACCCCGCTCCCACACCACCAGCTGCACGACCCCCTCCCACACCACCAGCTGCACGACCCCCTCCCACACCACCAGCTGCACGACCCCCCCCCTCCCACACCACCAGCTGCACGACCCCCTCCCACACCACCAGCTGCACGACCACTTCCCACCCCACCAGCTGCACGACCCCCCTCCCACACCACCAGCTGCACGACCCCCTCCCACACCACCAGCTGCACGACCCCGCTCCCACACCACCAGCTGCACGACCCCCTCCCACACCACCAGCTGCACGACCCCCCTCCCACACCACCAGCTGCACGACCACTTCCCACCCCACCAGCTGCACGACCCCCCTCCCACACCACCAGCTGCACGACCCCCTCCCACACCACCAGCTGCACGACCCCCTCCCACACCACCAGCTGCACGACCCCCTCCCACACCACCAGCTGCACGACCCCCCCCTCCCACGCCACCAGCTGCACGACCCCCTCCCACACCACCAGCTGCACGACCCCCTCCCACACCACCAGCTGCACGACCCCCCCCCTCCCACGCCACCAGCTGCACGACCCCCTCCCACACCACCAGCTGCACGACCCCCTCCCACACCACCAGCTGCACGACCCCCCTCCCACACCACCAGCTGCACGACCCCCTCCCACACCACCAGCTGCACGACCCCCTCCCACACCACCAGCGGTGCAACCCCCCCCTCCCACGCCACCAGCTGCACGACCCCCTCCCACACCACCAGCTGCACGACCCCCTCCCACACCACCAGCTGCACGACCCCCCTCCCACACCACCAGCTGCACGACCCCCTCCCACACCACCAGCTGCACGACCCCCTCCCACACCACCAGCTGCACGTCCCTGTAACACCACTCTATTGTACCACCACCCTAAAATGTACCACTATAATGGAACACCACTATAATGGAACACTAACTATCCTGAGTAACACTTCCTCATCGGTTGCACTTGGTAACACTGTTATGGGCTGACATATGATGGTTACACCGGAACCAAAGGTACACTGCCAATAAGGAAATGCTAACACAAGGATTAAATACGCTGCCACCATCTGCCTTTGACCATTGAAACTATATCAAGCAACGAGGCAAGAAACATTGCTTGACTAGGAGAGTAATTTTTATGACTGTCATTAATTATGAAAACGGTTGTCAGCCACTATATCCAAAAGGCTAAGAGGATTCAACAATTGACACAGATGGGAAATTTCACGTAAGTTTATTGAGACCAAAATTATGTCAATCACCAATTATAAATCCTACTCTAATCACTGGCAAAAAGTTAAGAACTTTGGACATGGAACAAAAACTCAGAGATCACACACATTACCTTAAGACCTCTGTCTCTCCCTGGCTGAGATGTTCTTCACAGCCCCGCTCTCGATCCCGGTGTACCGCCTCTCCTTTTCTATGTTCCTACAGGATCTATATACAACCCCCCACAGGGGGAGGGGGAGATCTGCTGTTGCTAAAGGGAGCTGTAACACCCATGATCCCCCCCCCCCCCTTAGAGTTCACACCCAGGGAAGCCTTCTCCAAGAGGTCAGCCCAGATGACCTCCGGTTTATCTTGTATATTGATTAAAAAAATTCCTGGGTTAGTTTTAGTCAGCATAGTTTCAAGTATGTAATATTTCATGCAAGGAAATTAGACTCCAGATTCTTATGTGTAAACATCCCTGGATCTCCCCCTTTTGGCCAGGTCAGAGGTCAGTCACATGTAATTAATAACTATTCTCTTGAAGAGTGTAGGGTGAATGTCAAACAAGCTTTTTGAAATATTTCTTGAGTGTTTGTACACTTTTGGTGGGTAGCAACAGCAGATCTCCCCCTCCCCCCTGTGGGGGGTTGTATATAGAGGGCCTGTAGGAACATAGAAAAGGAGAGGGCGGTACACCGGGATCGAGAGCGGGTCTGTGAAGAACATCTCAGCCAGGGAGAGACAGAGGTCTTAAGGTAATGTGTGTGATCTCTGAGTTTTGTTCCATGTCCAAATTTCTTAACTTTTTGCCAGTGTTAGAGTAGGATTTATAATTGGTGATTGACATAATTTTGGTCTCAATAAACTTACGTGAAATTTCCCGCCTGTGTCAATTGTTGAATCCTCTTAGCCTTTTGGATATAGTGGCTGACAACCGTTTTCATAATTAATGACAGTCATAGAAAGTACTCTCCAAGTCAAGCAATGTTTCTTGCCTCGTTGCTTGATATAGTTTCAATGGTCAAAGGCAGATGGTGGCAGCGTATTTAATCCTTGTGTTAGCATTTCCTTATTGGCAGTGTACCTTTGGTTCCGGTGTAACCATCATATGTCAGCCCATAACAGTGTTACCAAGTGCAACCGATGAGGAAGTGTTACTCAGGATAGTTTAGTGTTCCATTATAGTGGTGTTCCATTATAGTGGTACAATAGGGTGGTGTTACATCCCCATAGACTGGTGTTACACTGCTCCAGGTCCCCAGACACTGCTCCAGGTCCCCCAGATACTGCTCCAGGTCCCCAGACACTGCTCCAGGTCCCCCAGATACTGCTCCAGGTCCCCAGATACTGCTCCAGGTCCCCAGATACTGCTCCAGGTCCCCAGATACTGCTCCAGGTCCCCAGACACTGCTCCAGGTCCCCCAGATACTGCTCCAGGTCCCCAGACACTGCTCCAGGTCCAGGTCCCCAGATACTGCTCCAGGTCCCCAGATACTGCTCCAGGTCCCCAGATACTGCTCCAGGTCCCCCAGATACTGCTCCAGGTCCCCAGATACTGCTCCAGGTCCCCCAGATACTGCTCCAGGTCCCCAGATACTGCTCCAGGGTACCCCAGATACTGCTCCAGGTCCCCCAGATACTGCTCCAGGTACTGCTCCAGGTCCCCAGATACTGCTCCAGGTCCCCAGATACTGCTCCAGGTCCCCAGATACTGCTCCAGGTCCCCCAGATACTGCTCCAGGTCCCCAGATACTGCTCCAGGTCCCCCAGATACTGCTCCAGGTCCCCAGATACTGCTCCAGGTCCCCAGATACTGCTCCAGGTCCCCCAGATACTGCTCCAGGTCCCCAGATACTGCTCCAGGTCCCCCAGATACTGCTCCAGGTCCCCAGACACTGCTCCAGGTCCCCCAGATACTGCTCCAGGTCCCCAGATACTGCTCCAGGTCCCCAGATACTGCTCCAGGTCCCCAGATACTGCTCCAGGTCCCCCAGATACTGCTCCAGGTTCCCAGATACTGCTCCAGGTCCCCAGATACTGTTCCAGGTCCCCAGATACTGCTCCAGGCACCCAGATACTGCTCTAGGTCCCCAGGCTCCAGGTCCCCAGATACTGCTCCAGGTCCCCAGATACTGCTCCAGGTCCCCAGATACTGCTCCAGGTCCCCAGATACTGCTCCAGGTCCCCAGATACTGCTCCAGGTCCCCAGATACTGCTCCAGGTCCCCAGATACTGCTCCAGGTCCCCAGATACTGCTCCAGGTCCCCAGATACTGCTCCAGGTCCCCCCAGATACTGCTCCAGGTCCCCAGCTCCAGGTCCCCACTGCTCCAGGTCCCCCAGATACTGCTCCAGGTCCCCAGATACTGCTCCAGGTCCCCAGATACTGCTCCAGGTCCCCACTGCTCCAGGTCCCCCAGATACTGCTCCAGGTCCCCAGATACTGCTCCAGGCTCCAGGTCCCCAGATACTGCTCCAGGCCCCCAGACACTGCTCCAGGTCCCCAGATACTGCTCCAGGTCCCCAGATACTGCTCCAGGTCCCCAGATACTGCTCTAGGCCCCCAGACACTGCTCCAGGCCCCCAGACACTGCTCCAGGCCCCCAGATACTGCTCCAGGCCCCCAGACACTGCTCCAGGTCCCCAGATACTGCTCCAGGTCCCCAGATACTACTCCAGGTCCCCAGATACTGCTCCAGGTCCCCAGACACTGCTCCAGGTCCCCAGATACTGCTCCAGGTCCCCAGATACTGCTCCAGGTCCCCAGACACTGCTCCAGGTCCCCAGACACTGCTCCAGGTCCACAGATACTGCTCCAGGCCCCCAGATACTGCTCCAGGCCCCCAGATACTGCTCCAGGCCCCCAGAAACTGCTCCAGGCCCCCAGATACTGCTCCAGGCCCCCAGATACTGCTCCAGGTCCCCCAGATACTGCTCCAGGCCCCCAGATACTGCTCCAGGCCCCCAGATACTGCTCCAGGCCCCCAGATACTGCTCCAGGCCCCCAGATACTGCTCCAGGCCCCCAGATACTGCTCCAGGTCCCCAGACACTGCTCCAGGCCCCCAGACACTGCTCCAGGTCCCCAGATACGGGTTCAGGTT